CGAGCCCCTCCGCGCGAACCCACTACCCACCCGAGGGGGGGGCTGTTCAGCGCGTGCCAGGTTGAACTTCCTCGTCGCACCTCCCCAGTCCCGGGTCCAACACAGCTGCGTGGTGCCAGGCCTGGAGAGCGAGAGCCCGGCTGGTTTTGGCCTCCGAGCCACCCAGAAACTTCAGCCAAGTTGGACTCCCAGGGCGCGAGGCCCGGCGCGGAGCGGGAGCTGGCCCAGCGTCCAAGGCACTCCGTGGACGCCCCTTCTTGCTCGCAGCAGAGCCCGGGGAGCCTGCAGGCCGCCCTACCAGCCTTCCAGAGAGTAATAAAGCACATTTCCAGCATAGAGAAGCCCAGGCCAGGGGTTCCTGAAAGCTGAGCCCCCAGAGATCAGGGGCGCACGGGCACAGACAGGCGCGGCGCCCTCAAAGGGCGGGTGGCCTCAGGCCCAGGCTGCGCGGCCAGGCCACTCAGAGCGCTCGGAATGGGTTTGAGCCAATGCGCCTAAGGCCCGCGGTTGGCGTTCTCGCAGCCAGTGCAGAGCTGCAGGCGCAGCCCGCCCCCGCATCCTCGCGCCCCGGGGTCACGCTCCGACCGCGCGGGCTACCGGCCTCCAGCCCGGCTCTCGCCTGGGGTTGGGGCCCCGCGCCACGCACAGGCGGAGGCCGAGGAAAGAACCCAAAACCGATAGCAGAACTGACCTTGGGCCCTGGAGGGAAGGAGGCCGTAGGGGCCCGGAGAGCCGCAGAATAGGGAAATCCCGTGAGGATGCACCTAGAAAGTGCCGTGAATTTCGGGAGAGCGTGGAACAGCCACCAATGGCAAAGCCTGCCCACCGCGGGTCAGTGACGGGGCCCCCGAGTGCGCCAGGGCCTTGCCTTGTGTCTCGGGGTCACGCTGCCCATGGACCAGGGAGGCCGGGCAAGCAGGGGCTCCGCATTTAGGCCACCCCAACCTGCTGGGTTGCGCACAGAGGTGGGCAGGCCAGGTTCGGGTGGGTTTTTCAGGCCCAGGGAAAGTGCCTTCTCCCTCTCTGGGCAGGGACGGAAGCCACGGCGTCCTCCGGAGGTATGTGGTGACCGAACCCAAGCCAGGCCTCGAGTCCCGCTTACTCTGAGAGGCAAGTAATTGGGCACCGCGCCCCGAACACACGGGGCGCACAACGGGCTCCTCTCCCCTCCCGCTAGGCCTGGCTGGATTCAGGTAAAAAGAGAACTCTGAAGGGTCTCAGACCCCTGTTCTTTGCGCGCGC